GATGCGACAAAATTATCTAGATTCGACAAGATGCGAGTTAGTTGGCCGCAGGTAAATTTTCATATTTCTTTTATCAGGTGAACACACTGAGAAACGGAAAGTATCGATACGAACCTTGCTGGAACACCACTGGCAGGACTAACCAAGCCGGTAGGTGTTCGTGGCCGTGAACTCGAACCGTTCACAGACAAACGCTTCCCTGAAACGCTATTGTGTCTACTGGATGAGGGAGTATTCCCTGTCGTGCTTATCGCGGTTCTACGTGGAATACGGCTCACATTGATCGAATCGTCTGAAATGAATAAAAAACATAAAGCTATAAAAGTAAAGTAAGGGAAAATTGTTTAATTTTAAATAAATCGGATCTTAAATTCATTATGGATTCATTATGCACATATAAATCAACTTATCGATATTTTTTAGCAAGAGATTATAGTGTATACGTTACATGTAGGAAGGGTATGAAAGAAAAGATTGTAGAAGTACTAAATAGTATAAAGTAAATAATTATAACAATATGATGAATATTTTCTTTCAACGACTGATAATTTTACTAATTTCTAAATTTTTTATGATAGGTAAATTTTTGAATTCTTATGGGTATAATTTGCATTAATTTTTAACACACGAAGAACACATGGGTGGTCTTCATTGAAAAAATTTGCAGTATGATTACTAAAAAAAAAAAAAAGTTATTTTCGAATGTAAATCTTAAAATATTAAGATAATCAATAGTATGATCTTCAAAATTTTACGATTATTTTAATAACAAAAAAGAACATATTTAAATGTGAACACCTCCAATCCAAAAAATTATGAAACTTTAATATAAGTAGAGTATATAGAGGTATGCATTACACAATTTTTTTTCATGCCACAATTTACTCTAATTGTAAAAGAGTGAAACATAAATTCGGTAGTTTCGATTTTATATTAAATAATTCGAAAATTGTAAGAGATAGAAAAAAAGTTATTGCTTTTAATTAGGATTATATATCTTAAGGTAAAAGATTTTTCAATTGTTTATATAAATAAAAAAATTATAAATAAAAATATTAATTTTTTTCATCTTTTCGCGTGAAATCTAGTTTAAATGACTATGAAATAGTATAATTTTTTTTCTATATACACACTCTGTTGTGTTCTTCGACATTCAAGAAACTTTTGGATCTTCAGGTGTTTATTTTGTAATACGGTACATATTGAGAAAGTAAGTAATTTATAGAGTGATCTGTAATTCTCAGTTCAAGTCAAGTGAGAAAAATTTTATGGCTAAAAATAAGAGAAAAATTAGGAATAATATAATTTCTTTGGAAGCATAATTTTCGAGAAAGTATATTCAAGTATTAATGATTAATGAAGTTTCCTTTATACATCGCTATTGCGATTGCTTTTGTACAATTGTTTCAGCGTATAAGAAAGATATATGCATCGAAGTGTCATAAATATTACGTCTATAGTTTTGTTTAGCTTCGATAACTAAGCTTCGATAATATATTAACATTCATAACGAATGACACTTCCAAGGAAAACAGGAATGCTTGAAGTACATAGTTTCTACATATGTATGAAAAAAATTTGTATGAAAATTTTCCAATTTTGTGATATTGTTATTATACAGGATAATGTTATTAAATTACAATTTCTTATTTATAATTAACTTTGAACTGTGATCAAAGTACATATTACGGCGTATTCGAGAAATATGGAGATTTTGCTTCTCGTATGCTGAAAAGTTGATGGAAAGCATGTCTCGTCGCGTGTAAACAATAGTCACTAGTGGAGATTGGACTATTAATCGAATGCGTAAAAGTATTTTAGGTGTACTTTCAATCTATGCAAGATTTTTTACAAAAAGAATATTTTTTGTAAAAAGTATTTTTATTTGAACAGTTTCATCGCCATTAAGAGTAATTCATAATATTCACATATTGCATATGTGTTTTCATAGCTGTCTATACTAGAATTATTATTATTTCATTGCTGTTCTTCTTCAGTCTAAAATTATTATTACTATTATTTTTGCGTTCTCACTCACTTCTTAAGATAAAAGAAAAATTCGTAATTTATGTTAAAAATAAAAAGTGTTCTAATAAAGATAAGCTATATCTTAAGATTTTCTTCTTTTCCTTTATCTTTCATCTAATACGTTTACTTATTACTCTAATATGTTTTACTGTGTAATGAAAGAAATGATATCATATAAATTATTTTGCTTTTGAGGAAAACTGTTTGTCATTCAATGATATATATGATCTGAAATCTAGACTGTCAAAGCATTTACCAATACAACCAAGTTCGTATATAAAAAAAATATTATGTTATTTCATAGTTATTTAAACTCTTTATAAAAAAGGTAGCTTTTGTCTCAAAACTTGTCTTCTATTTTTATAGAAGATTTTATTTTTTTTTTTATATTTTTATAGAAGAATTTTTTATAGAAGAATTTATAGTTCCCGACTCATGATATAAAATTGAAAATTTGCCGAATTTTCGAAGTTCTATTTTATCTCCTTAGAGTGAATTCTGGCAGAAAACAAATTTTGCACATACCTCGATATGCTTTATTTATCCCCAAAGATTCATAATTTTTTGAATTTCCGAATAGAACATGTTCCCTTGTAAGTATATTTAGTATATTATACCTTTTAGTATACATAATTGTATAATATGTAAGTATGTTTCTTAAAAATTCTTATCTACACTGATAAGTTAGATGGGTTATCTGTAATCTAAATTAGAGAACCAGTTTCTTCTTAAAATTCATTAGCATTGTTTAATAAATATGTTCTAGATTTCCTTAAGAGATCCAATACATTAATTTTTTTCATTAAAGAAAAATAACAAGAAGCATATATATTTACATATAATCGATATTTGATAAGTGCTTACCAGTGCTATCTAACGACTGCGTAGAACCGTAACGGCTCGGTGGTTTGCTTCCTTGTCTGGATGCAGGCCTACTTCCGGGTCTACTTGTTGGTCTGGACGTCGGTCTCGAAGTTGGCCTACTCGATGGTCGACTACCACCTGTAGCGAGTCAGTGATAAACATAAAATTTTGTCTGAAATAAAATAGGCTGAAAAATAATGAAAAAAAAATTAAAAATATAAATATTCGATAGAATCGTTTACCCGGTGTCACGGAGCTTCTGTAAGGTGTACTCGTTTTTCTGGCGGAACCAAGCTTGAAGGAACTTTCGTTGTCGCTTAAGCTGTCTGGCGTGCCGGCGCTTAGCGAGGAGCGCGATGCTCGCGATTGTCCCATGGGAACGCTGCGAGCGCTGCGTTCTCTCACCTACGCGACAGAAAGCTCATTTTGGATAAACGAACACAGACGGGAAATTAAACGGAAAGATACGTTCTACGAGAGGAGGCAAGTATGTACGCGGTAGAAACAAAGAGGCAAACAAACAAATAGACAAACAGCAAGAATTTGAATTTGAATTTGAACCGGTCGACGCGCGAATACGACGCGCCGATACTGTTAGTTAAAGCGATACGGATCAGATTCACGAGACGGAAGGAAGCAAATATTCGAACGATAAAAAAATAAACGTTTCTGAATTTCCTTCCGCCACGTATTTTTTTTTTTTTTTTCTATCAGTGATATCGCATAGAAATCGGGTTGTTTCTTCCCGCGGTGCTGCTCGGTCGTTCGTTTACAACCTTTCAACGCCACCGATGTGAAATAGAAACCGATCGATTGAAGAAACAAATATAGAAACAAAAACAAAACAAAAAGACCAGTGAAAAAAATAGAGACTACCATGATAGTTCGAGAGAGATAAAGAGCGACTCTTTATGTCTAACGAAAAAAAAAAAAAGATTCATGCAAACTTACCAAAGGAAGTTGGGACAGATAGAGTAGCTTATGATGATTCGAAGTATCTCCGATCAACGCCACTATGCACGCATCAATACAGCAATACAGGAGATCGTTATGCACATATTCGCCTATACATACAGTAGTTCACCGTGTCCGCGAAACGCGTCTCGCGAGAAAAATTGTTCGTTCCGCAATGTTTGGAATCCTCGACGTTCGAACCAAAAGAAAAATAGACAGAAATTCTAAGCGGATAAATTGTAAGAAAAATCAAGGATACTGATATCGTTTACAAGATGAACTGAATGAATTCCCGGTTCATCCTACGAGGGGAGGGGAGATCTTTTAGAGGCATTCAATTTAAACAAATAAGACACGGTAAATCAGGTTGACGAATGTGGAAACAAAAGGCATTATAAAAAAAAAAAAAAACCGTGAGCTACTGACGAACTGAAAACGAAATTGCCTTTTACGCGTTCAATGAGATACGAAGAGACATGGTCCTTTTCGAGTGTCGTCCAATAGACGTGGCTAAGTACCATGAAAAATACGATCGTCGATCTAAACTACCAGTTCTACCACATGCATATATGATATCCCGTTAAAGCTACGATGCCATGAGTCGAAGGGATATTTCCCGCGTACATGTACGCGCACATCGTTATGAGAATCGCATATACGATATACTGAGGAAATGCTGAGAGCAGCGATAGCGGAAATAGCAACGCAAATTCAAAAAAAAAAAAAAAAAAAAAAAAAAAAAAAAAAAAAAAAAAAAAAAA